TCTATTATTTAAATATCCACATATTTCCTTCTAAATCTAATTTAGGGTATTGCCGAGCACAAACCTCGTAAAAATCCCAATCTTTTATCTTTTAATAGAAAAAATCTCTCGTTAAATCTCATTTCAGAAACCTCGTTCCGAAGATTTTTCATCCTGTACCCTCGTGTATATATCTCCAGTCTCCTCGAATTATACCATCATTTATAGTAAGAATTACTTGAATATCTTATAGGCCAACCGTTATCGGCGAGTCAATAGCTTCAAGTTAGATTACCCATAAAATGGGGGGGCTTGGGGCTATTAAGTTCGCGCTATGACAGCTATGAGGTTGGCATACGGATCTTCCATAACGTTAATTTGCCCTATCTCACGGCACCGGTTCCAGAAATTTAGGGAAACTTAAGCTAGAAGATTCAGACTTGAAGCTTCTGGCTTTTGCTGTTTTATTGGGGTCCCCGGCCCCGAAACTTAGCCTTATTTGGAGTTGGTTTGTACACCGTGGCCCGGGGGGGGGGGGGGGGGGGGTAAGGGGGGTTTCGGACATTTAAAGCTTAAATTTTTTTTCAGGTGGGGGCAAGGGTTAATTTGCGGGGTGGTAGCCTCGAGGGCTCCGTGACTTCGTCGGGCTGCTGCTGGCCTTGGGTCACGAACTTGCGACTGCCCCTACCCTAAAACCCTAAAACCCTAAATCCTAAATGCTTGTGGGGTGAGGAGCCTAGGACGGGCTCGGAGGCTCCTCGACGTAGGCTCGGGTTCAGAGATTCGATGCATGGAGTATCGGGTTGAGGGTTTAACGTATATATTAGGCTGGCTTCGCGTTGCAGGTACCTAGGCCGCCTTCTATTTCGATCGACCTCGTCCAACCCAAGTTACTTCAAACACCTTGGGCTGACTCGAAAAGACTCCGAGTCGGTGTGGCGATGCATATGACGGACATTTAGGGGCTCGAACTTCTTACTTCAAGCATTACGGCTCAAACTGCGGATGTGCAAAAAAACCTGGTTGCCGTAACCCTAAACCCTAAGCCCTAAATCCTAAACCCTGAACCCTAAACCCTAAACCCATAAAGATTAAGAGTGCTTACACAGCTGAAAGCACGGCCAAGTGTCATGTGCAGGCAGCTGCGCTGAATCAAGAGCTGATTCAGCGTGGCAGGTATGGGCATGCATGACCTGGCAAGTGAGTTACACGCCAGTATACGCCCTAAACCTTAAACCCTAAACCCTAAACCCTAAAACCGAAACCCTAAACCCTAAACCTTGAACCCTAAACCCTAAATCCCAAACGCAGGCGCAGAAGCGGTTCGGGTGTCTAGCGGGTTCAGGGTTCGACGGTTTGGGGTTGAAGGCCTTGCCAACCTTGCAGCCCTAAACCCTGAACCCTGAACTTTGAACCCTAGGAGGTACCCGGAAGAGCTGCCCAGTGAAGTCAGCCTTATCCGTGAGGAGCAGAGACCTCTGTGGAAGGTTTCGTGGACTTTGGTTTGGTGCTTTGCAGGAGGTTGGGTAGTTAAGGAGGCTACAGCCTTCCATGGGGTGCCTGAATGCTGTGTATAACTGTATAACCCCAAACCTTAAACCCTAAACCCTAAACCAACCAACCAACCCAAATCCTGCACCCAGAACCAGAACCCCTAAACCCTTCAAAGCTTAAGGGTTCAGGGATGTAGGGTTTAGGGTTCAGGGCTTAAGGGCTTCGGTTGAGATTAGAGGGGTTCGTGGGCTTTTGAACTTGTGAGCTTGTGGCGAAACATCATTAGTAAGTGGTGAGGGCACGGCCCATCGGCATCGGAGTGCACCCGATGGGCAGAAACAAGGCTCATGGAGGAGATGTAACCAGCACATGGCAAGGCGTGAAAAGCTGTCGCCTCCGCACGGAAGCCATCCAACACAAACTGTGTTTTGACTGTAGCACCGGCAAAGCTTGCCCTCGACAAAGCCAAGGTGTAGCAAGGCAGCTCCAAACCACAACATGTTTTCTGTCTGAAGCGCGCTCGTGCATCCATAAAGAGACAAGGGCAGCTTTCGAAAAGCAAAGGGCGATTGATGTTCTCAAACGTTCTCCTGACACCCGCCAAACATCAGCGTAACAGTCTAGGTGGTAGTTCTAAAGGCTCCCCCAACATATTTGTGACTAGGTCGGTATGTAAAATCCCGATAAGGGCATTTAAGAGATATCCCAAACTACCACCCAGATCAGTGCAACAAAGCACCATCTTCGATGGTCTTTCACTGTAGGGCTCCACCCTGCATCAAAGCGGGTTTCACTCAGCCTCTCGCGTATAGGCCACCAGGAAAATCGGCAACACCGCATCCTTCTCGAAGATCACAAACCTTGGAATGCGAAGAAGATGGAACAGGCTGCCAAGGAAAACCGTGTTTGACGTGATGGGCTACCCTAAACCCTAAGCCCTAAACCCCAAACCCCAAACCCTAAACCCTAAACCCTAACGCTTTAGACAGGGCCCGGCACACAAGGAAGCTGCCACCCTATGGTATTCTCCGCTAGCCAAGACGCTCTCGAAACCGAAGGATCGAGTGACCAGTCTCCGCAACCAAGGACTGGTATCCTAAGCCGTTCAGAAGCCCCCCTTGAACAGAAGTATAAATATATATATATATATATATATATATTAAAAATTATATATATATATATATATATATATATTATATGTATATATATATTATATATATAGTATATATATATATATATATATATATATATTATTTATATTATATATATATATATGTACTGCTTTGAGTTCGTGGTACTATAATGGAAACGCTTTTCAGTAGCCCCCTTGAAAAAAGTACAATATACTTCTTTAAGTTAGTGACACTATAAAATGGAAGCCCCAAAATGGGAGGAACAAAAAGAGTATACTGCGGAACAGGCTTGTATCTGAGAGGAGGATCGGTGTTGGGGATGGTGACCTTAGTTGCTGAGCTCATAAGGCCCCAAGAAAGTGTACACTTTCAGTTCTATAGGGGATTAGAGTCCTTAAACCCTAAACCCTAAACCCTAAACCCTAAACGTGTACTCACTCAGCTACTAAGTGACCATCTGCGCTGCTGATGGTTCCAAGAGGTTCATCCCTTCCTTCGCAAGGGTCGTGGCCTCCCTGCCATGCATGGCCGGGCAAGGCTTCGTCTTTTGTGTGTAGCCTGCTTAGGGTTGAGGGCTTAGGGTTTCGGGAGTTTAGGGAGTTTAGGGAGTTTGGAGAGTTTAGCGACTTTAGGGAGTTTAGGGTTTACGGAGTTTAGGGTTTAGGGTTTACTTATGCGCGTGTAGCCTGCCAGCCCCAGGATCACTCGGCAGACGAATACGAAGTGAATCTCCTTGCTGGCAGCTGCTTCGCCATACAGGAGCTTCTTGATTCTGCCATCATCATCCGGCTTTAGCCCAGGACTGGCATATTGGTCGGTCTTGCACACATTTTCCTTAGGGGGGGGGGGGGGGGGGGGCATTTGGGGCCCCTGAACTACGTTGCCCAGCAACCTAGGAATGGAAAGGGTGTTTTTTTTGCTTTTTGCGGGCTTGTAAGGGATCCTTTCACCCCAAGAAAGGGAAGAAGGGCTCCGCCGGGCATCCTGTAAACAGGTTGTATAGGATTTGGGGGCCATCGACATACAAAACTGATTCTAAATCAACCACAGTTGCGGCAAAATACACACCTCGACCAAACGCGTCCCTGCTGGTAAAGCGGGGATCCAAAAACATCTCCAGTTGCCCCTCATGAAGAAGGGCCTCCAACCCGGTAGTGTTGGTCCCATGCAAGAGTATGGTCTCATTGATGCTTGAGTCGGTCTTGATCATGTCTTTGAGGTCCTTCACCACCTCATCCAACTCAACCGCTACCATGGGAATCTGTCCTCCCAGTGCTTTGAGGCGGGCTCTCGCCAACTTTCTCCTTGTCCTTGGTTCAGAGCAGTTGGCTATGCAAGAAAGCGACAAGAGCTTGGCAACGAATTCAAGACGACGTCAACACAGCCTCACTACGCAGCAGAACCATGCGCCATGCATCTTTCTCCGCTCCTTTGCAAAGCTTGCTGCGTGAAGTCCACAATTCACCCGCCAGACATCCTGCAGGCGCAGCTTCGTGTAGCCATCTCCGCGTGCATCCCGACCATGCCCTAGTTCCTCTGGAGGCGCCATGGCCAAGATTCTTTGCATGGTGGCACGAACCTCCCGGCTGGTCTCCAGGTGAACTGAAGCTATCGAAGGCTTCCGAAAGAACATGTAAAGGCCGAGAAAAAGAAGGCCGAGAACGAGGCCCACTGCGGTGATGAGGATCGGAGTCCATGGAGTCTCGGCATCCTGGACGATCGAAGCCTCAGAGAGGGAACGCAAGCTCAGACTTGAGCCCTGAAAAGGGCATCTGGCCGACTTTGAGTAGGGAGCGGGGATGGTAGGGCAGTTGGGATGAGTCTCGGGGCCTGAGCCACGCGACGTTGGGGGCAGTCATAAGGCTACCTTCTAAAAGACTGCGAGGGCTTACTCGGCTCTAATGTGGTTTAGGGTTTTTGGTGGGGGGGAGGTGGGGCAGTGGTAGGGAGGGGAGTACGAGGGGAGTAAGAAAGTTAACCTCGAACTTTCCGGAGTAAACCCTAGGGTCAAAAGTTTGCCCTGAACCCTAAACCCATTAAGCCTGAAACATTTTAGTGTTTTTCTCGTCGAGAAAAATCTTAACCTTTTCGGGTTTTTCCTTCTTAGAGATGAGATAAGGCTCACAGAATTGTAGAGTCTCACATACCGCTTTTTTCAACCCATCATGTATCTTCAAAGTCTTGCTGCTTTGCCGGGCCTGGCCCGAAACTCCCCCAACCAGCTCCCCTACCAACCCCGCTCCCTACTTAAACCGGCCAGTCATAAAACCGGAAGTTCCCAAAGCCCTCTTAGTATCAGGGCTTAGAGCTTAAAGTCTATAGGGTTTCGAGAGGCGCGAGACAAACAAGTCTTCGCGACATAGGAGGGCTACTTCAGCTCTTCAATCACTAGCGTTGACATGAAAGCTCCACATACGTACTTGAAATCCGACACTGCGAAGCGTGAGCTCAACCTGGCTAAGCAACTTGTGGAGTTGGCACTTGAACGGCAATGTAGTCCGCAGAGTAGTGTTCCTCCAAGAGTCGACTGCCTGTCATCTCGACCTTGCTCAAGATGTGGAGGTAGCAATCTGGGCAAACCATCATCTGAGCCTTGATGCGCACAACGCCCCCAAGCCCTTCCTGCAACACTTCGGCATCCAGCGTGTGGATGGCACTGGCTTCTGCGGCTGATGAGTCGGAGAGCCAAGCTCGCAGGAACGAAAGGTGCAGCCCATCTCCCACCAGGCGCTGCTCTGCAAAAGCATGCTGGGTCGACTGAAATACGGCCACGGTTCGCTCGTCCTTGAACTCAGCCGCTCGGAAGAGCTTGAGTGTGGAACTAAACTGCCCCAAGTGCACATTGAACCCTTGGATCTGCTTCAGCGCAACGGCTGTCAGCTCGGTGCTGAAGATGCCGACGACGTCCCTGGGGAAGTCGAGCTGCACGGGGATGTTCCATTGCGCCGCAGCAAGCTCCCCCCCACCGGAAGTCGCCACCATGAAGATCGCCAAGACGCCAGCTCGGATAAGCGTGCTCTCGTTCATACTCTCATCCTAGGCTGGCCCTCATAATCAACACCCTTTGAAATATATTCCTGAATATAGTTCCCTAATTCCCCACTAAACGGAAAAAACAAAATACCCCAGGACCCGACCTAGCATCAAGCCTGCACGGGCCAACATCACGTCCCGTGTAGTTCGTGACAAGCTGGAGTAGGTCGCTGTTTCGCTCCCATTGCTCGTTGCAACTGCCGGGCGCCCAGCTCAAGATGGACGAGTTCTCAGCCACGTCGACCACAAACCTATACTCCCCTTAGAACCTTAAACAGAATAATGTTTTTAGTATCCTCTTATGTTTTATATGAACAAGAATGAAAAGTAATTCCCAAGGGGGATATAGAAACCGAACCGTGGTCTCATAGATGTTCGCGGGCAACGTGGACGGAGCCAAAGACATGGAGATGAGACCGAAGCCATCCAGGGTCACTTGCAAATGAGGTACGTCCATACTTGAGACGACCAATGCCTATACTCCCCTTGGAACCTTGATAAACATGACATGTTTTATATCCTCTTGGGTTTTTATGTTAACAAAAAATAAAATTTTTCACAAGGGGGATATAGATGCCAGAGTAGGCTCGCAGAAGGTGGAACATCCCGGGCTGTTGTACCCAGCGTCACAAGCTGCACACGCCGTCCCATTCCAGCTCTCCGCCTGGCAAAAGCACACGGTCGTGCTGACGGTGGAGGTCTTCGTGGTGGTGGTGGTGGTCGGAATAGCGTCGTGAAGCCGCCACACATCATTGTATTGTATTTCTGTGTTTTGGCCGAAACCACCAACAACCAGCAGCGTTCCATCTGCCGCGCCCACCACTGTGTGCCTCCATCGAAGGTCAGGGCGCTCCGCCGAGGACAACTCCAGCTCGGTCCATGATGGCGAACCTTGGCTCATAGTGAGCCTCCACAAGTCATTAGGTTTTGACCCATAAGAAGTTCCAAAGAGGATCACGCTCCCATCGGCCATTCTTGCTGCTCTTGTACTAGACCTCGGAGGGGGCCGGGCGCCAGCAACTCTCAGCTCTGACCAGACGTGCGTGCTGCCTTGGCTCAGGCTCAACAGCCACATGTCGTCGAAGTGGATACCTGTCGAGGCCCTGCCCCCAAAGATGAGCATTGAGCCGTCGAGAAGTCCCACTGCAGCATGGTCCCACCTTGCCTCGGGGCCTCCATTGGTGGAGAGGCTTTCCCAGATGCCCGAGCTCTCACCGTCCAGCTGAAACCGCCAAGCGTCGGACATGTACTTCTCTGCCTGTTCCGGCTGCCAGTAGAAACCTCCGAACACGAGCATGGAGCCATCTGAGACGGTTACGGCCGTGTGGTGGGACCTTCCTGGTGGGCGACGCTGAGAAGTGCTAAGCTCAGACCAAGAGCCCGAGCCATCCTGGAGAAAAGTCAGCTGCCACAGTCCGTTCGGATATACTTGTATCGAGAAGCCAGCGTAGAAGCCACTAGATATGTAACGGTCAGAATCATAGTGTCCACCGAACACTAGCATCTTCTCACCAAGCATCACCGCAGAATGTGCCCGTCTTTTGGGCCGCAACCCAGATGTCGTCAACTCCTGCCACCTATAGGGTGGTCCGCTCTGCAACATGAGTTGCCAGACATCGATATGATCAATAAGGAAGGGATGTCTCGTGTACCCTCCGTGTATCACGAGGCTGCCGTTGACTTCCACTGCTGTGTGACCGGTTCTTGAATGGGACAGCGAGGCGAGCTCTTCCCACCAAGGGCCCATGACACCGCTCTGCCGGCTTTTGTTTCCGTATCTCCTTACCCTGAGGGTCCTATAAGTACCTAGGTACGGCCCCCTGCAAGCAGAAACAGCCCCCTGCAAGCAGAAACACAAGTCGATCCCGGACTGATCGAAAGGCCCAAGAAAGACTCGAACGTGAAAACTAAGCCCTTTAACCTACAATAAACCCAAAATGTCGAGAATCAACTACCAGCACGGTAGCTGAAACAAAAAAGTGAAAACACATCTGAATACATTCAGGTACATATACGAAAAATGTATAGGCAAGTGCAACAAGCGCAACTTCAACAGGCATGTAAGCTGCTTAAGTGTATGTATATATGTATGTTATATGTATGCATGTATGTGTATCTATATATATATATATATATATATTATGCAAGTGTGCTCTTGGGGGGTGGCCACATATGCATATCTATCTATATATATATATATATATACATATATATATAAGGACAAATGTATTTGTGTTTGTGGACACAGCAAACCCAAATGTATTTGTGTTTGTGGACACAGCAAACCCCTCAACAAGGCTTCTCCCAGGCCCCCAAAATCCTGAACCCTAAACCCCTGAATTACTAAACTCTAAACCCCTGAACCCTTATCCCCAAGCCCTAAACCCCTAAACCCTTATCCCTATGCCCGAAACCAACAACGCAAATCGACAAGACTCCGGAGGTGAGGGCGAGGCTGCCACTGCGCCAGTGGCAGGAGGGGCGGTGGCCTGCAGCTGCGTGAGGAGGCGGGAACCCTTCAGGCTTTAGGGTATACTTGAAGTTTCATGGGTAGTTATAAGTACGGCTTTTAAATACCTCCAAAGAAGGTGGTTGCAATTCAGGTTGCCCTACTCATAATCCCATTTATAACAGCTACCCATGAACCTCCAAGTAGGGTTTAGGGCCGAGGGCTTAAGAGCCTTTTAAGGTTTGGGCCTGAGGGTGGTTTCAGGAAGCTTCCCTAAACCCTAATGCAAACCTATACCCTGAACCCTAAACCCGAAGAGAACTTCGGAGCACAACGGCCCAGAGGCCGCGAGGCTCTGGTTTCAAGGCTCTGGGGCTGAACACGAAATCATCTCTCCGCTTCCCCAAACCAGCTTTCTGGGGTTTGGGGTTGAGGGCTTAGGTTTAGGGTTTAGGGGGCTTTAGGGTGTGTCAGGAGAAGGCGTGCGCTCGGGCGTGGAACACCCCGGGCCGCGTGAAAGCGCCTCTTGTCAACCCACCCCGGCCACCCCGGCCCCAACGATACTCTATTAGGGCTCAGGGTTTGTGATTTTGTTCATGCAACGATACCTTCTGCTTTTGTCACGCATCCACAAGATCTCCATCAGCGAGTGCAGGATCCACATCAGTGCGAACGAGGCTCCCATCGGCAAGCACCAGAACCACGACAAAAACCTCTTCGGGAACTTGAGTTACATCTACATGGACAACAGCCTCTGTGAGAACATTCACCTCCATGTCTACGGGATCTTCACACCTCTACTCATTACCTCATCGACTACATGATCCTGAAGTTGCAGGAGGTTCTGGCTCCAGCAGACATGCCGTCACGACCTGGCGACTTAAAAAGCTAGAAGGGAAGAGAACGAGAAGTCCTTAGCAGTGCTCCTCATCAAGATAATTTCGCATGACGAGTTGGAGCGCTGTGACGCTATATTCCGCTATATGTGATCATCGCAACTTCAGGGCTGTGCATATCCTGTCTCTGTGGAGATTTGAAGCATGCGCACAAGCAACGAAACAACCAGTGAAAGTTCATCGAGATCCTTGCGAGGCCTGAGAGCCATGTCGCATGCGTGAGCATTGGGCTGCTTTCCGCGAATGGCAATCCACTCATGGCTGAGTACTGAGGGCTGAGGCGCTTGCGAATCGCGGAGCTCGAGAACTTTTGGAGTGCAGAGTAGAATGCACAATCCGAGCACATGGACATTAGTCTTTGAAGTCGGTTGAGTTGACCGTGGAACTGCAAAGCTCATCAACAGGACTAGAAACTTTGAAGGTGCATGTTTTTGTGTGCTACGAGTACAGTTCTCGGTACCCCAGTAACCATATTATTATGAGGGCACCCGTTTTTGGTTGGTCAACTTATAACACTGGGCTACCAAGTTGTTTACCCAGGGACCTTGTCCTTCGTTTCAAGACGATGGCACAGTCTGAGGCCGATGAAGGTTCTGAGAAAATTCGCAGAGTCCGACAGCGCTGGGCGGCTAGAGTTACCCTATACCCTAAACCCTAAACCCTCAACCCTGAACCTTATGGATTCCCAAGATGAAGAGGCACCAAGACTGCACTCGTGGAGCGTTGTGAGAGCATGTTAGAGATCAAAAGCCTTTCAATTAGAGAATATTTGTATCGATACATATATCATAACTTTCCATATAATCATAGCAGAAATTTTATTCATCAATAATTATCCAAAAGTATGAACTAATTTAGGATATATGGATATAAATCATTGAATTTCTTCATCAATCCTCCAATCATATACCCTAGATAACAACCAAAATAAAGAATGTCGACCCAATCAATCAATATATATATATATATAAATATACATTCTAATTTTATTCGTACTCTGAATATGTAAAACCAGAGATGCAAAGCCTCCGAGTAATATCTTAACGCCTATTTCCGGATTAGTTGCCTCCTTCTTTTGCCTTCGCGACGTTTTGTCAGAGCCCTTGCGTGGCATGGCGTTCCTTCAAAGAATCTAGTACAAGCGTCTGGCAGTTGCAATCTTTCTGCACCTGTCCGACAGCCGGCATTTGTACAATGGCACCTACATCGCAAGGAAAAAAGTTTCGACCCAGGTGGCGGAAAATCACGAACTCAAGGATGCTACCCACTAAACCCTAAACCCTAAACCCTAAACCCTAAACTTAAACCCTAAACCCATACCGCGGAGTAGTGGGGCAAATGGGCCCTGGTGTGCGTGTTGCATGGTCTGCGTGGCGGAGAAAACTTGCGCCGTTTTTGGATTTACACAACTCATCAGCTGCGGTGGAGTCTGCGATCTGGGTGTTGGGGTGCTAGGAGACTTGAGGGGAGGGGGGGTTTTGCCTAAGTTGCGAGGGCTTCATGGCGGCTGAAGCGACTGGGTCGAACTTTCCTCCTGCCACAGTAGGCCACTTGAAGGGATTTTTCAAATTGACACTAGAAAGTAATTCAGGACTCCCTGTAATCTTGTTTTAGGGCATAGGTTTTAGGGTTTCGGGAAAATATAACTCCCAAAACTGTTCTGTCCTTTCCCAGCCATTCCGCTACCTTCATGAAGGAAATGCACCTCGCTGAAATCCCCTTCGTTAGCACGTGCCACGAGGTGAAACAGGGAGAGAAAGGTTTAGGGTTTAGGGTTTGGGGTTTAGGGTTTAGGGTTTAGGGTTTAGGGTTTGGGGTTTAGGGCTTAGGATTCAGGGTGCATATGCTACCTGTTTCCTGTCGTGCTCCTCTTCTCAGAGCAGGCATCGCACAGATGGCCGCCTGGCGAAAGACTGGGCGTCCGGGTTCTGCTGCATTTAGAGCTTAGGGTTTAGGGTTTGGGGTTTGGGGTTTAGGGTTTAGGGTTTTGGGTTTAGGGTTAGGGTTTAGGGTTTAGGATTTAGGGTTTAGGGTTTGGGGTTTAGGGTTTAATCCTTAGGGTTTGGGGCGCAGGCTCATGCTAGCCCATGGCAACAGCATGCAGCTTGCACTTTGAACGATGGTGCTGGCTCGGGTGGTTCGTTTCAGGCTTTGCAGACGTGACTGCAACCTACAACCGCGGTGCAGCTTCTGTATTTGTTGGAAGGAAACCTCATCAGCGCGGTTGTCGAAGAGCTGCGAGCCTCAGATATCGGATTGACAAGCAATGAGGGGTGAGAAGATTGCTTGCCTCGTTCATGGGTCAAAACCCATGGTTTCTATGCGGAGGATCAACGTGCGTTGCCATTCAGAGCCCTTTCGCGCGACTGCAATACATCTTAAACTTTGCTCCGCAGGGTCGAACTCGGCACAGGCTCCCGAGATTCAGACCCCCCTAGCTTTTGTGTCCTGATGCTCTTTGCAAGACCTCCCTCCCAAATGTCCAGAACGTCTTGTGTCACTTTCGTACACTCCACACCCCATGCAAAAGCCTTGCATGGAGGCTTGCACATCAAACGGCTAGGTTCAGGATGGCGTGGGGTGGGGCTTAGGGTGAAGGCTCAGTCTACTTGCTGGTTCATGGGTAGCTAGAAGTGGGGTTACAAGTAAGGTAAGAACATAATGATATCTGGTTCTAGCCTCCTTTCGGGTCCTTCTAACCCTACGTACAACTTCCATGAAGTTCAAGGAGGCTTTAGGCGCTTTAGGGTTTGAAGTTCTTCGAAAGCTGCAGCCGCGGCACCGCCGAACTCTCCCCCGGCTTCGAGGCCAACAGGCGTAGGCCCTGCTCGTTAGGGTCCATAAAGCCTAAATCTCGTAAAGCCCTATAAGCCTCCTCCGTAGCCTGTAACACCCTAAAGAGGTGTTGGGACATGCAGTGCGGTGGTAGGCATGCAAGGAATGGTAAGGATGGTTGTCGATCTCAGGTTGGGATTTCGTCCGTCCCCGTCAAAAACCTTGAACTGTGATACAGTTTAGGGTTTAGGGTTTAGGGTTCAGGGTTTAGGGCTAAGGGTTTAGGGTTTAGAGCATCAACCCTAAGCCGGCCTTGGCCGACATTGACACCTACTGTGCTATTTTGGACTATGAAGGGCTGCCGGACCTAAGAGAAAGGAGAGAGGCGGAAGCGCACAAACATGAATGAAGACACCTTAAGTTACTGTATGTAAACGGGTCCTTTGCATCTTCAATACTCTTGATTTTCACGGGCGTTATTCTTTGTAGTACTATTACTACTATTATCATTACTATTATTATTACTACTTTATCTTATCATTTTAGCCCGTGAGCGAACAATAAAAAGTTAGTAATCGCAGCCCCCATAAACGATGATAACATTCCGCCCGGCGAAACATCATTAAC